AAAAAATTAAAAAGAGGTACATATGAAAATAATAAATCCCAAAACCACTCGGACGCTGAACAAATGAGGGTCATCTCAATCTTAATCTGCCTCTGACTCTAGTTCTCGGAAGGAATCCAGCTAGCAGATTGGTAAGGTGCGTACCATTACCCATCGTAACAAAGTATCATCCATAAGACTCCTGAGCTCAAGTAGATCTCCATTCTTCTTTTTCCTCCTGGAAGTGTAAATCTGTCATTCCTTATCCGAAGAATCAGTCTGACGAGGTGGTAGAGCTGAAGCAGAAGGATTAGAAGGATTATCAACCGTAGTACCCACAGTAGGTTCTAATATCTATGAATTATGGGTTGCCTCTACACCGGATACTTCTTGTAGAGGAGCTGTGAGGTTCTCTTGATTATCAATCTGAACAGTCCTTTGTAGGTAATAGTCCATTGGTATTGTTTTCTATGGGGTTTGAAGGTGTCAGCATCACATCACTCGCAGTAAGAGTAATTGCAGTGTCATGAGGGGGGGCATAAGGGCAACATTATCCTCTCCAGGTGGAGCTAAAATGTCCAGAGCAGTGGGGTTAGACCCATCCTTATTCACTTGAACCTTAGCTTTCAAATTAGGATGAAACTTGTGGCATTTATCAAGGATATGCCCAAACATCTTACAGTAGGTACAATATGGGAGTCTGTGTTTTATGATGATTTGTTGTCAATATCCATTATGGATTGTGCCCAGCCAGACTTCAGTGACATTAGATAAAGTAATATCACTTTTCACAAGTATTCTGACCACCAAAGGTCTGGTTAAGTTGAAAGTAGGCAGATCTAGCTTCAAAAGATTCCAAGGATGACCTCAATAGAGTAGAGAACCTGATGGTGAAAAAAATGCAACTTGAGACCAGGTAGACTAAACCATACGAGTACAGTTGGAGTTTCATGATTTGGGTCGAAATCAAGAGACCACTCGAGTAAACTTCATTGATTTGCCTGCGCTATTAAGATATTTCTTGGAGAAAATTCAGGTGTAGTCCAATGTTAGTTAAATCAATACGTCTCCCATCCATGAGTCTCACTTTTCACTTGCCTACTAGCTTAAGATCACCAACACTCTTCACCAACGCTCTTTCTGATAAAATCTATAGGTGTGTGACTCCACTGAAATTTTTCTATAAGAACAAACTTGAATTTTTCTGTCAGGGTAGAAATTTCTGAGTCAAAGAAAAAAATTGTTGTTTTGCCACCTTCCTACTTCTCTTCTTAACAAAAAGGCAATCACCTGTACCATCGCGACAATCCTTATAGCTTAACAGGAATACCACTGCGGATTGCACCTGAGGGTTACCCACGACGTGGGCAAAAGAGACCTTTGTCGATTTAGCCAATGAAGAAGGAAGAGCCATCAGAGCAAGAGGAGGTGATGGCGATCACCTGCAGCGAGAAGCAGACAAAACGACACTGTGTCGGGAAGCACGACGTCAGGCCGGAGAGAAGCACCGGGTGCAGACTGTCGAAACGAAGAAACGATGAAGCAGAAGATCAAAACAGAAGGAAAGAAACGTCAAGGGCAGAAGCAGGGATTGCAGCGTCGAAACGACGCAGATGCCAGATGCATGCCGACGCAGAATCTGCGACTAACGATGCCGACCTAGACGCAGACGGGAGCGAGAGTCGATGAGTCGACGAAACGAGTTGCGATCCCCTCTCCGTCGAGCGGCAGAATCAAATGAGAAGGAAATCTCCATTGTAAACCCTAGCAGAGCCCGAGCTCTCGACTGCAGCTGACATCCTGAAAAATATGATATATAGTACTAGTAAATGCATTTTGGTAGAAGAATGAAAATAATACGATAATATTAGAATTTAAGTACTCACATCGATGATACACGATCTGCTTGCTTTTGTATTACTTCTTTGAAATTTTTCACTATAAGATATTAATATTTAATTATTACTCAATTATGTTTATATTTAATTATCAATTATTATTATATTGCATTATTTTAATTAAAATTTTAATACATTAATTTTTTTTAATTATTATAATCAAAATTATTATTGAACATTGTTAATTTATAAATTTAAAATTAAAATCCTTACCTGAATGAAATTCAGTTTAATTTAACCTTTAAATAATAAACTTATATTATAATATTTATTAAATAACTTAAATAAATAAACTTACTCGTATAAAGCCAGCAGTCTTAGGCTGCGTTTAGGACAGCTTATAACTGCGGGCAGCATTTTGAAAACGCCATCGTACCTATTGGTCAACCGTTTATCCAAATTATCCCAGAATGACGTTTTTAATTTGTCAAGGATGCGGCCAGCGGGATGATCCCCGTAGGCCGCGTTCGTTCCAGTGTATATTACTCCGCTGCCCTCGCCTCGCCAGGTAGACCTATCGCGCTCATCATCCTTAGCCGTGTTTGCCTCCATCTTCGACAATCCTTCTCGACAGGTAAACAAAACCTTTTTTTTTTCTTCTGCTGCCCTTTGTTGCCGCTCTTCTGCTCCTTTGTGTTTTTTTTTCTGTGGAAGAGGGATTTGGTAAACACAACCTTTTATTTTTCTTCTGTTACACTATGTTGTCGTCCTCTGCTCTTTTGTGTTTTATTATTACTTTTTTTTCATGTGGAAGAGAGATTTGGTAAACACGTTTCAGCTTTTTGTTTTCTTCTGTTGTACTATGCTAAGCCACTCCTCTGCTACTTTGCATTTTTTTTTTTTGTTTTTTTTTTTTGGCTAGAGAAGAGGGATTTGGGTGAATCTGGATTTGTGTGAATATGCTACTTTGCTGTTTTTTTTTTTGCTGCTAATTACTTACATATTAAGCACTAACAATCAAAGAAGACCTTCCACGCATAAAGGTCGTCTCAATCATATATGTAAAGTACAATGAAAATGCCACCAATGGTTGCAGTGCTTAAATCTTCCTGTTCAAAGCATTTGAGGAATCTACTCAACAACAGGAAAATTATGGAATACATCCAATATATCTGAAAGCGAATTTTACTTTAATGAAATATTCATGACATTATTTATCCCTACTTATCATTACAACCCACATAACACTTACTTTCTTTACTAGCTAAAATATACTTGTTTGTGTGTCATCTGAACCTAGACGATTGTGTTAAGTTCTTTGAAACAATGGGCATTTTCTTTAATGGAAGTAAAATGACGAACTAGATGCATTAAAACTTCTACCTTTTTGATGTTCACAAGATGTATTTGAATGAAATGAGGTAGATCTCCTTACCATTACTTTTCACATCTATTTGCTATTTTTTCTAACAAGATGTATTTAGTATGTATTTCAAATGCCCCTACCTTTTTGCTTTCTTTGGTTTGGCATCTTTATCAGATTATCAAAAATGTTTGAATTGTGCTGATCTTTTTTCTGTTATGACAAATTATTTTGTTATGTTTAGTTAATTGAATTGTGCTTATCTTTTTCTTGGGGCATCTCGTGTTATGAAAAAAAATATTTTATAATAATCCATCTATCTGACAGTACGTAATGAGTAAAGCTAAAGAGGTCAGATCATCGGTCATGTGTGATAAAGAGACCACTATTATATTTTATGAATATTATCATTTTTTTAATTGTAATTTCAATATAATTTTTTTCCTTTTTTTAGGTTTCTTGATACTCAATTTTAAGTATGGTGTATATCCTATTTTTGTACTGTTATGTGGTGTTTTTTTTTTTCTAAACTGTCAAATGTGTAGCCGTTATAGTTCTGGTGCAAATAGCAACATAGCGCAGTGCCATAATGCTCATTTATCCAAAAAAAACTGTAAATCAGTTGTTTTTGAAACACACAAACCAAATAACTAAACAACTTATCCAGATCAGAGCTAGAATGATCATTTATCAAAAATAAGCTGTTTATCTGGCTAAGCTGCAGCTGTCTCAAACAGACCCTTACCCCGCGCATGCGAAAGGCTTCCTCTGCATGTGACTTCGTCCAGTGTGCACGAGAGATCTTCTTCCCTTCGCTCGAGAACTGAATCGCATGCACGAGAGAGCTTCTGCAGTGTCCTTTTCTACTCATTTGATCGCAGCTCGTTACCGACGCCGGCTTCTTTCTGTGCTCGAACCTCCCACACTGCCGTTCTTCTCCTTTCTTCCACTTCTTTTCTACGATGGCTAACTAGATTGCAATCGAGTGCATAGAGCTTCCATTCTTCTCCACGAGGGCACCACGTTGCTGCCCTAAAGGTAAGTTGACTTCGACGTTTTATAAGGAAATTCATCATCTTCGCTTCCCGACCCTTTGTTTCAATATTCTGACTCACTCATTTTCCTTCTGTTCGGTTTTCTCTCCCTTATTGTTCGTTTCGTTTCAATATTCTGACTCCTCACTCATTTCGCTTCTGTTCGGTTTTCTCTCCCTTATTGTTCGTTTCCCGACTCTTCACATCCTCCTCCTCAATTCTTCATTTCTTCTCCTACAATAACTGAAACGAGTCGTCACATTTATGGCTTCAGGGCACATGATGTGCATGAATTTTAATTGCTTAGTGTGATAGATGAACATAAAGAAAGCTTCAAGCCTCAGATATGTATACTTTTCTCTAAGAGTTAAATAAATACTACAATCAACTCTTCTCCAACACTTGCATTATGTTCAGTTTTCTCAGTTTTTTTCTTTTTCTTGTTCTTTGATTGCTTTAAATTTTTTTGTGAGAATTACTTGACATGACCTGGTTAGATGCACGTTATTTCTCTAGTTTGGATTGTCATTGTCTGCATATTTTATTTCTGCTGACTGCGATATTAACCATTCTTTCTCTGGATGCTTTTATTTTAGAACATCTTGAGTATTATGCATCAGAAAAACTGTTGTTTATTCTTTCTGATAAATTCTAAACATTGTTTCCTTTTTTCTTTTTGACTTGTTACCATGCTTTGAAGTTCAACCATTTTTATCTTTCTGCATCTTGCCCTGTACGTCATAATAATTTCATGTGATTGTGGCCGCTTACCTTTTCAAAAATCAGGGTGCTGGTACAAGTAAAGGCACGCTTGAGAGTTGGTTTGCTGATATGAAACAACCATTCAACATGCATGCAATGCATTCTGCAGTTATCTTGGTAATCTCGTTTAGCATTAAATGTGTAACTGTGCGTGAATATGTATTGCATTTGTTTTTATGCCATTTTTAATGGTCTGCCTGGTAAGTTTTTTCATGCTGTATCTCTTGCTATATATTCTTTGGACTTTTTTCTCTTTCTGAATTCACTACTCATGAACATTTTTCTTTTGAAATTGTATACTTTTAACTGTTGTATAATAGGAATCAAACCGGCTTGGATTAATTTGCATCAGTACGGAATGATGCTTATGGTCTTTCTGCAGTCTGTTTTGTGTGCAGGTCTATATCCTAATGTGGCTGCGACTTTAGAGGGCACTGTTGGCGTACCTCTTGGTAGAAATAAAGCACCATCGAACAACAATTCGACAAATGATTGCCCTATTTTGTTTGATGGGAGAAGCGAAGTCCATGTTCATCCATCCTCAATGAACTATAACATAAATGGCTTACGTTATCCATTTCTTGTTTTCCTAGAAAAGGTAATAATATGAAATCCTTTAATCCGTGCTTTTTCCTTCTTATAGGAGCTATTAAATCACAAAATCATTTGCAGTTTGAGTAAAAATGAGAAAAAAA